TGAGTGCATTTTTATGTTTTCTATGTCTTTTACTACAAAAATGTCTCTACGTCTCTAGCAATTTATAGCATGCACAAAGAGTGATTTAAAGAACTATAGGCAGGGCAAGCTATGAAAGAAGAACTAGTTTTCTCTTTTTTTTTGGCAATAAATAGAATAAAAATTGAAATAGAGCATGAGAATTCATGTTTGTACAGCATGTATGTTAGTATGAGCCACAGGTTTAGAAATATCCGGACAAAATAATTGCATGTGCATGGATCAGCTGCTGCACCACTAGGAATGTTCTGTTGTTTGGAACGGAATACTAGTATACACTGCTTAATGCACACTGCATACTTCATACTGTTTTTTTGTTTGAAATGTCAGTCTGTCATGCAGTATGCAATAAGTTTCAAACACACTGTAAAAAAATGATTTTTCAAAATTGTAAATAAAAATAACAAGTATGTTTTACAAGAAAATACTTTTTTTTCCGTTTTTCTACTTCAAAATTTTGCTTTTTATTTAATGTGTTACTTGCCGTTTCTTTGTAATTATTTGTGAAATTTGTGAAAATTTACACCATTTCTTTTCCAGCGCATTTGTAAAAATAGGCTAGTAGTATATTTAATTATGAAAATGTGGTACCGATGCAAAAGTTTCTGCAATGGTATCTAGGGTGTTGCTATGGGGTTGCTAAGATGTTCTGTGTGAATCAGTGTTGTTTTTGTATAATTGAGATTATATATATATATATATTTGTTAATCTTTGAATTAGTTTTTATTTGTTGCATAGTGTTTTATATGGTTTCATTTTAATTTTAACTAATTTAGTAATTTTCTTGTGTTATCACTTTATTGTGTATTTTATTTTATTCAGCTAATATTTACTTTATTTAAAGTAACACTTTTTTATGGTTTTAGTTTTAGTTAATGACACTAACGAAATTAGATGTAGACAGTTAATTTCACAAAAAGAAACGGCAAGCAACACATTGAATTAAACATGAAATATTGAAGTAGAAAAATGAAATTGTATTATCTTTTAAAACATGCTCCAATAATAAAAAATTGTTAATAATAATCTTAGTTGTTATTTACAACTTCGAAAATGCATTTTTTACAGTGTATAATACTGATTTTAATTCATTGCTATGTGTTTGCTAGGGTATTGCTTTGCATACTGTGTATTTCATAAACGTAGAACAGTATGCATACTGCAAAAATAGTATGAGGAGTATGTTAGTGTGCTTTTCCAAACACACCTATGATCTCGCTGGGTCCCGTCTTAGAATGATGACGTCACTTAACAGTTACCAGGTCAGTTTTGCAATATTAAAAAACATAATGAATGGAAGAAGATGTCAAAGTGAACAGAATTGTGCCCTTGAATGTTGATTATATAGTGACCTTCCGCTGTGATCATCTGATCGGGTGTTTAATTGAATAGCTGCTCTGTCCCTGATCACTAACTTGAGCTCAGACAGACAGATGGCAGACGTCCCGCTTGAGCGATAAGAACTGGAATGTTTGTGCAGCTATTAGCCGTATATATGTGTGTGTGGGTGTGTTTATGGACCCTGCTGGACTCCAACTAGTTTTAATAATCCACTCCGTATTAGGGATGAAAACTAAAAGTCTATTTTAAGACCATTACGATTTTTTTTGCGACATTATTTTAAAAGACAATTAAGGACATTTTTGTACCAAATTCTCATTAACATAATGAAATAAAAATCTCATGCTAATTATAGGAAAAAATGACAGGTAAGTACTCATACACCATTATAGCATTTGTGGTTAATTTATTATCTGATTATCGTTATATTTATTATCGTATTTCCGCTTTTTATTTAGGATATTATTACAGTAATGAGAAGCAAATAACAACTGAGAATAATGTCAATTACAAAACTTAACAATAATATAATGATGACTCATAATAATGGATTTTGCATTACAGTAATGAGAATTTGCATGACTGGAAAATGTGCTTAATTTCAAAATATCATACTGGTCCTCAAAATTGCTATATATATATATATATATATATATATATGTGTGTGTGAGTGTGTGTGAATTAAAAAAAAATGTTTTAATGTATTTATTTATGCTATACATATGATACAATATTCTAAAAAAAAAATTCTTAAATTATATTTAAGAATTTAATTTTTTTTATTTATTGTATCATATATATGTATAGTATAAATAAATACATTTAAAAAATATTTTAAACATATTTACTTATTTATTTGAATACGTTTTCAGGAAACTCGCCCATTTCTAAAGGGAAACCTGTCTGATAACTGATTCATGTTTTGTGTTTTGTGTTGACACATCAGTCACATTAACCATACTGCGATCCAGCCATCAAAACGTTGCTAATTTCTGCCTTAATATTAAATCATGTACTTTGTTTGACCTGTAAAGCACTTAAGATCCACTTTGTCCCCTGAATATTAAGTGAGAGACTGACCACTTTTCAAGATCCAGAGTGAAATGTGCTGTCCAGTCATATTAGCTTCAAGAATGTAAACTACTAGAAGAGAGGCAGCGTTTCTCGTTTCCTGACAAAATATGAATGGGACGACGGCACAGAGAAAGTATCGCTTGTTTTGATTGGAGGAAGTTGTGCTGTCGTGGCACGTGGCATATTTGCACGGTCGACTGATCATGGCAGGCTGTGCATGAAAAAAATCCTGCTATCAACATAACAGGTTTGGTCCAAAAAGTTTACGTTTCTGTGGGTCTAAAACAACTAAGCATGATGTTAAAGTCAACATGGAACGGCATTTACGACCCATTTTACTTCCGTAATGTGCCGTATTTCTAAGTAAACATGAACGTATTTAATCATTTGCAATTATGTGCACTGCGGAGTCATTCAAAATAAGACTAGAAACGTGTATTCAGAAAGCAAACGGGTTCAACTGGTTGACTTTAAAACGAATGTCACCATGTTTTGCAGTGGTGATGTGGCCTCGCTGGTTTGTTTCTATACGTTTTCACCTATTTTTTCATACATTTTTGTTCCTTTACATCACTTCTCTTCTTTTTCTCAGTCGTTTAGGCCATAACTGTGGCCTGGCTCTACATAAGTACTACATTTACATAGGCATGCACAATACAGTGTAACTATGAGCAATTACCAAGTTCATTTAAGTGTAATCACACGTGAAATACCTGAATAAAGCATGAATAGAGGAGAACTACTGTCTTTAAAAGTGTCTCTCAACGCTATAGAAATGTTCAAAGACTGCTGATCGCTCTGTGTGCTGTGTTTTATGGTTTGATTTATCTAATATAAATGTTCTAGAAGGCCCTTCTGGCAAACAGCATATCCGTGTAAGCCACTGAAACAAATTCGAAGCGTTACTATGGCACGTTTTAGGCTGCTTCTAAATGAAAGGTTTTCCTGAATTCTATCTCAAAACAGCCTGTTCTCACAATGGAAACGTCACTGCAGCGTGAAGCTGCAAAACTTCATTCTGTGGCTGTTTTTAACCTCATTTCGGAGGATTCGGTAAAGCCTCTGTTATCGTCAGATGTTCTCGTGTTTGGGGAACACAGTACAGAAGTAGCTGGAGCTACAAATCAATTAAATAGTAGTGCTGTATGAATTAGTTTTATCGCTGGGTATTCAGCACTATTTCAAACTAACATACTTTATGCAACATACACATTAGCAGTCAGCAAGCTAATATACAATATAGAATGTGATAAAAAAACAGATGAAATGACAGTAAGACTTGCTGAGTATTATTTATTCTATTAAAAAAATAATAAATGAATGAATTAATTAATTAAATGAGAGTAATTTTAATGTACATCATGCTGTGTATACTTGGTCATCTGACAAATGAAATAAAATAAAACTAAACTGAATAAAATAAAATAAATAAAGATACATTGTCAGTAATGTTAATGTATGACAGGCAGCGTATTTTTATTTGATTAAAAAAATAAAAAGTAAATAAATGAAAAAAAAACAACAACAATAAATTAAGAGTAATTTTGATGTAAGCCCTGCCTTGTACTTGGTAAGCTGACAAAATTAAATTAAACTAAATAAAATAAAAACAGATAAATTGTCAGTGATGTTAATGTAAGAATTGCTGTGTACTTTTATTTGATTAAAAGAATAAAATGTAATTACATTAAATAAAATACAGATAGATTGTCAGTAATGTGTACTGTTATTTTATTAACAAATAAAATAAAATAAAATACTTGGTAAGCTGACCAATTACTTTATGAAATCCTCAGTTTCAACATTAAAAACAGCCACTGGGAGTTTTGGTGGTGCATGTTTCCTTGTGAATCTGTGTTGCTCAAAAACAAGAGCTGTTTTGGCAAAAATATCCATGTGTGGTTATGTGGTCATTTGTTTACAGTATGATGCATGAATTAAATGATATCGCGATGGATCGAATGCCCTTTTCTCCACCCGGCAGCTTTCTGAAACGAGACGTGGCGATGAACAGTAATTCCGAATGTGCCCAAATCAATATCAACACACTTCATAGTCTATAACAAGAGCCTAAAATACCCCACTAAACATAATCTATCAATATCCTTTAGACTGTTTTGCGCCCATAACCTGGAAACTAGTTTTTCGTCAAAGGTTTTCAATAAAACACACCCCAAGTCCCCGTAAACCTACACTATACACCCTGAATTAATTGTGTCTAACTCTTAACTGGCATATTATACGAAGTAGCATGTATGTAGCGTAAGATAATCGTTCGGTGGTAATATTGTACACGGTTACGGTACCGACAGAGATGAAAAAGATTTGGTCCTCTGGTCCCTACGGGTGAGAGAAAGAGAGTTCGTTATACTGCGTCAGTGGCATATACACATTTTATCGTTAAACCCTCATTATTCCACGCGAGTAAAAGCTACGGCTGTCTTTTGATATGTGCATGGATCCGTCTTTTGCTTTAGCGAACTCAACCAGTCCCAGCCATGCACTGTTCTTCCAAAGTGTTCAATATATAGTGTTTTTCAAAAGAGAAAAAAGTTTTCAGTTTATTTGTTTTCGTCCTCGTCTCCGCCGTCGCTGTCGTCCCCCGTCACGCCAGTCTTTCATCGCCGGCGAAACACACGCTTTCGTTAAATGCGATATGCTTCACGAAACTCCCTTATGCGCTTGTTTTGCCGCTTTGTTTGCTTCTTCGTGTGTTTTTTGTGTCGTTTTTTTTTGTTTAGTCTTTTTTTTCGTGTGTTAGTTTTTCAAGAAAAGTTTCCATCCGTCAAAACGTCAAGACTACAACTGTTCAAAACCTGCCAGAGAGAGAGAAAGAGAGAGAAATGTCAGAGTTTGACTCGGGAGACAGACAGCAGCAGCAGAGGAGGAAAACAGCTCAGCTACATGCTGACAGCTTGATACCTGCATGTCAAACCAGGAGCCATCAGGCACAGCCGGAGCCGTGTGAAGCTCAAACTCAGGCCTGCGCTCTTGACATCGCATTAAACATGATACAAGCATCCAGAGAGATGACATGATACAGGTGTGCCGATGGATTGCATCATCCGTTCCGCGGCTTCAAGATAACATTTGACTGTTTGCCGGGAGAGTTTAGCGGAGAACTTTGCAGCTTTTAAGGAGAGATTACTTCATTCAGCACACGCTTTTATACTCAAAACTTGGGATGTAGCGATACAGACATCTGGATGATGATAATAATAACTGATTATGTCTCATTGTGGCCCATTGTAATGGATAAGATGGCTGATATAATAATAATAATAATAATAAATCAACTATTTTACTTTTTATTTAAAAACACAATTATTAATTACTATTAATTATTATTAATGAGTATTATTCTTAACAGAAATAATATTATTTTTTGTTACTTTTTATTTTATTTAAAAATTATTATTAATAATAACAATAATTTCCTATTACTAATAATTACTAAAGTATATACTTATTATTATTATTAACAACAAAAACCATAAAACAAATAATAATAATAATAATAAATATTATTTTTGGCATTTAAAATATACTATAATAATATTTTTTATTTTTTAAATTCAAATATAAAATATTATTGTTGACAAAAACACTAGTAAAATCAGATATTACAATATTCTATAAGTTACAAATAAAATTATGAAAACACAAATGAAACATGATGGAAACATAAGACTTAGCTCAAATATGTATTATTTATTTAGTGCAACAGTGAATTATAATAGAAGCTTGTTTCCACCACGGAATAAAAAAAAATAAAAAATGAAAAAGTAAAAAACAATCCCACAATTCTGACTTTTTTTTTCTCAGAATTCAGAAAAAAAGCAGAATTGTGAGATTTAAACTCAGAATTCTGACTTTTTTCTAGTAATTCTGAGCTTCTATCTTGCAATTCTGACTTTTTTCTTCTGAATTCTGAGTTTACATCTCACAAAAGGGAAATTGCGTCTTTTTATCTCACAATTCCAACTTTTCTTCCCAGAATTCCGAGTTTATATCTCGCATCTCTGCATAATTATCTTGCTATTCTGACTTAATATCTTGCATTTCTGACTTAATATCTTGCTATTCTGACTAATAAAAAAAAAAAAGTAAACTTTTTTCTGTGTTCTGCTGAATCGTGAGAAAAAATGTCCGAATTTTGAGGTAAAAAGTCTCATTTACCATTTGTATTTTTTTTTTTCTCGGCAGAAAAGGGCTTCCATAAAATATATATCAATAAGAAAATATCAATTTAATATCAATCAATTTAAATATCCATCAAATAAATCATAACATTAGCACTGATAGCATATATATATATATATATATATATATAAATAAACTAAATTAGTTGTTGTTGACAAAAAATCTAAATATTATATAAGTTTAAATTATTATTTACATTTATAGATTGGAAAAGATAAATACCTGTTTATACTTGGCATACAATATTGTGTTGACAAAGAGTATACTGTTTGAAATGAAAAAAAAATAAGGCCTGGTCTGCTTGCAGATAATTGCAGTAAATAAACTAATACTATTACAGAATTGTAAATTGTACTTAATCTTTATGGCATGCTTTTCAAAATTAGCAGAACATTAAAAAGTTTGTAAATGAACAAAAGCAACTCAAACCGCCCGGTTTCCACTTGTTTTTAGAGTAAAAGTCACAAAATAATCACTATTATTGCGGTCTACCAAAGCCAAAGTATTTGCATAACAGACATTATGGTATGATTTTTATTGTAGGCCTATTTAGATCATCATAACTTAATAACTGCAATAGAGAGATGATATATTCTACACAGACGTCAATTAAATTAGGCATCATGAGTGAGTCAAGAAAGCCAAACACTTTACATAAGCCTGCAGTACATTATGATAGATAGCTCTGGCTTTATTAAAATACTGACTTTCTGATGCACATGCCTACCTCTCCTAATGGCTGAGAGTGCACGTATGCATCCCTGGCTGTGGTCAGTATGGACGGCTGGCATCCTTCGGCCGTTTCAGCTGCACTTTCAAGCGTTTCATGCCGATCTGGAAGCCGTTCATGGCCTGGATGGCAGCCTGAGCACTGGTGGGGTTATCGAAGCTCACAAAGCCTGCAGACAAGAGAGAAACCGAATCTGCTGTTCATGTGTGCGTATCTTACAGTCCCTGCAGTATAACGGCCACACACGTCCAAATTTACTCATTTTTAATTCATGTGGAAGGAAATGGACAACAAATCCTCAAGGAAACAAATAGACTGAGAGGACTGAATCAAATTAAACTAATGGGAGCCAGAGGGAGAGATTTCTACGCAGGGATCGTGTTTCAGAGAGCTGCCTGTGTAGTGTGAGGAGAATGAATATAAATATATGTGATTCCAGACAGGCAAGGCTTTTGGGGTGAGGGAGGAGACCAATAAACCTTTATTAAACTCACTACAGTCTCACACACACACACACACACACACACATCTGGGCTGTGGCACATCACGGGCTGCATGGCACCCTGGGTCCAAAATTAACATTTGGCAAACACTGAATGCATGTTAAAATTGTCTTTGGCGTGCAAATAAAATGGGTCAATTGCCAATTGGCTGGTAACATGTCAGGAACTGAAAACTAATGCATGCTTTAAGTGACAATGTTAGAATGATATATGTTTATACTTGTATTTGTTATGTTTTAATAATCAGAACTCTGCGTGCCAACAAAACAATAATATAGGGAACGTCTCGGTTACGTACGTAACCCTCGTTCCCTGATGGATGGAACGGAGACGTTATGTCGTGACGACATAGGGGGTTCACTTGGGAGCCCCAATCCTCACTGACTTTAAGAGAAAACCCCAATTAAATTTGGCTAGTGGATTTTGCATACCTGAGCCACTCCCTGTGCATACGGGTATAAATAGGCGACAGGTGCATCCACTCTTCAGGTTTTGTGCTGTGGAGCCGAGAACTTGTCCCTGGCAGCCAGCAATGGTTCGAGATTGTGGCATGGAGACATAACGTCTCTGTTCCCTCCATCAGGGAACGAGGGTTACGTACGTAACAGAGACGTTCCCTATCTGTGGGTCACTACGAGTTATGTCGTGATGACATAGGGGGTCCATGGAAAGCACGACAACCTAAACCCCGTCACAACCCTGTAGCGTTGCAAATGTTGACAAGCAGCCGCGTGTCAGACAAATGCTACGCAAAGATCGTAACCTTCCCAACGCCCCAGCGCAATTCGTTGACCTTAGCGCCCGCAGGTACCAAAAGGTTAGTACATTGCTGCTGGAGATAGCCAAGCCGTTGTTCCTATGACAGAAAAGTTTTTTTAAGAGAAGGGAATTTGTCCTTCAAAAAAGGTGTGTCACGTCTTTTTCTGTTTGTTGTTTATAGCTTGGCAGTAACGAAGGGGAAGTGAGCCTTCCGGAGAAGGGCGCTACGGAGACCACATCCTGCCCGTAGGGAGGTATCATGTGGAGACACTGATATGGACTGACCCAGGCCTGGGGCAGTACTACATATGGAATGGGTCTCTGAGGCAGGTCCTACCTAGGAGTAGGGAGGAACGGCTGCCAGTAGAGACTGACAGAGTGGTCTGTCAAAGGGAAGACATGGGTTCACAGAGAGGGAAACCTTACCGTACAAGAATACACATATGGGATTGCCCGCAGGGAATCAAACCATATGGACACCTAGCCCTGTAAAGGGGCTGACTGAAAACCCGGGCAAGCTAACACCGATACTGGGCCTGGCATCAGACTGCTCCGCTCAGTCTGACTGCCAGGGGTGCTGGAGAATACTTAACCAGGGTTTGCTGACTGGGGAACTTACTGGAGGAGGAAATGGCACTCGCATCCCCGGGTGAGGGGGAATGGCGTAGCAAGCGAGACACCGGCCGGCTCTTCCCGCCACTTACCTGCTACCCAACACACGGGAAGAAACCAGCTCAACGAGGAGACTGTAAAATCTCGCGAAAGTGTTCGGTGTTGCCCAACCCACAGCTTTACAGATGTCTGCCAGAGAGGCGCTGTGCGCCAGCGCATAGGAGGAGGCAACACTTTGCGTGGAGTGAGCCCTCACCCCCAGGGGGCACGGCTCACCTTTGGATTGGTAGGCCAAGGCGATGGCATCCACTATCCAGTGGGCCAACCTCTGAATTTTGTCAACGTCTCTCATCTCAGCAAGGTTGAGCTAGAGCTGGCGCTCTTGGGCCACTAACGTGGACATTGCCTTCCCGAGGGACCGCACCGTGACTTTCGTCGCCCAGTGGGTGAAGTCAGTCGCCGAGCGCAGCTCCTGCATACAAATCGGTACTACCCTTGTGCATTTGTTTTAGTGCCTTGGCATTGGTGGACCTGAAGGATAGCCATGGCATGCAGGGCAGAGGCGGCTTGTCCTGCAGCACTGTAAGCTTTGGTGGCGAGAGCCACCGTCCGCTTACAGGTTTTGGACGGGAGACGAGGACGATTCCTCCAAGTGGTGGCGTTTTGCGGGCACAGGTGCACCGCAACCGCTCTCTCCACCTGGGGAATGTCAACGTACCCCCTCGACGGCGGGGGTAGTGAGGACGGAGGAGGCAGACGAGCGGCTTCAGGCCGAAAAAGGAGTCGTCCACGACTTCATCAGCTCCTCATGCACCTCGGCACCTTCGGCAGCGCACCGAATGAAATGCGAGGACCGTCACGAGCCGGGTTAGCAGAATCACTCAGGAGCCGCACGGGACATTCGCTGCGGGAGGAGTGAGAGGTCCGCGGGGACATGCCTGGCGGAGAAGCTCTCACTGTGACCCTCAGGGAGTGGCTCAGGTATGCAAAATCCACTAGGCGTTTTCTTTTAAAGTCAGAGAGGACTGGGGCTCCCAAGTGAACCCCCTATGTCGTCACGACATAACTCATGTAGTGACCGACAGATAGGGAACTATATATTGTTCCTACATTGACATATATACCTATATTCCTCTCTCCTCACACACACACACATACACAAATACAAATATATATATATAAATATAAATAAAAATATATTATATACATACAGGTATACATACAGTATCTATCTATCTATTTATCTATCTATCTATATAGATATAGAGATGTACTGTTAAAAAGTTTAGGGTCAGTAAGATGTTTTATAAAAAAGTCTCTTCTGCTCACTACACTCATTACAGTCAAGCCTATATTGTCACTTTTGATCAGGCTAATGTATCCTTGACCCCAAACTTTTGAACAGTAGTATATATATATATATATAGTATATATATATATATATATATATATATATATATATAAGCGGTATGTGTGGAGAAAACCAGGCACTGCTCATCACCTGTCCAATACAGTCCCAACAGTGAAGCATGGTGGTGGCAGCATCATGCTGTGGGGGTGTTTTTCAGCTGCAGGGACAGGACGACTGGTTGCAATTGAGGGAAAGATGAATGCGGCCAAGTACAGGGTTATCCTGGACGAAAACTTTCTCCAGAGTGCTCAGGACCTCAGACTGGGCTGAAGGTTTACCTTCCAACAAGACAATGACCCTAAGCACACAGCTAAAATAACGAAGGAGTGGCTTCACAACAACTCTGTGACTGTTCTTGAATGGCCCAGCCAGAGCCCTGACTTAAACCCAATTGAGCATCTCTGGAGAGACCTAAAAATGGCTGTCCATCAACGTTTACCATCCAACCTGACAGAACTGGGGAGGATCTGCAAGGAGGAATGGCAGCGGATCCCCAAATCCAGGTGTGAAAACTTGTTGCATCTTTCCCAAAAAGACTCATGGCTGTATTCGATCAAAAGGGTGCTTCTACTAAATACTGAGCAAAGGGTCTGAATACTTAGGACCATGTGATATTTCAGTTTTTCTTTTTTAATAAATCTGCAAAAATGTCAACAATTCTGTGTTTTTCTGTCAATATAGGGTGCTGTGTGTACATTAATGAGGAGAAAAAATTTACTTAAATGATTTTAGCAAATGGCTGCAATATAACAAAGAGTGAAAAATTTAAGGGGGTCTGAATACTTTCCGTACCCACTGTATATATATATAACTGATTACAGAGATGCAAGCATATGTAGATATAGAATTGGTTGAAAGCAGGGAGGCAAGTCTGACCGAAACATTTGCTCTGATTGGTGGCTCGGTCCATGAACACCTTTGACGAGATGACAGATCCGAACGGAAGAAACATCTGCATTAGCTCGTTATCACCAAACTCCTGTGGCAGGTGATAGATAAACAAGTTGCAGCCCTCGGGACCTGAAACAGACACATGCATATTTAATAGGCTGTCGCAGACATGAACATGTATTTTTAGACTTTATGAAAATTATGAAAACACAAATGAAACATGATGGAAACATAAGACTTAGCTCAAATATGTATTATTTATTTAGTGCAACAGTGAATTATAATAGAAGCTTGTTTCCACCACGGAATAAAAAAAAATAAAAAATGAAAAAGTAAAAAACAATCCCACAATTCTGACTTTTTTTTTCTCAGAATTCAGAAAAAAAGCAGAATTGTGAGATTTAAACTCAGAATTCTGACTTTTTTCTAGTAATTCTGAGCTTCTATCTTGCAATTCTGACTTTTTTCTTCTGAATTCTGAGTTTACATCTCACAAAAGGGAAATTGCGACTTTTTATCTCACAATTCCAACTTTTCTTCCCAGAATTCCGAGTTTATATCTCGCATCTCTGCATAAATATCTTGCTATTCTGACTTAATATCTTGCATTTCTGACTTAATATCTTGCTATTCTGACTAATTAAAAAAAAAAAGTAAACTTTTTTCTGTGTTCTGCTGAATCGTGAGAAAAAATGTCCGAATTTTGAGGTAAAAAGTCTCATTTACCATTTGTATTTTTTTTTTTCTTGGCAGAAAAGGGCTTCCATAAAATATATATCAATAAGAAAATATCAATTTAATATCAATCAATTTAAATATCCATCAAATAAATCATAACATTAGCACTGATAGCATTATAGTCTTTATTTTGCATTTTTGTGCTCCAGTTGGATATTTTCTTTTAATGTTGTATGATTTGTGCCATTCAAAAAGTTCAAATGACGTGGGCCAATCAGGAAACATCTGACACCTGATGTAATTGAAACTAAAGATTCTAAAATGGAACTCAGTAGTAAAATCTTCACAGGGAAGCAGTCGATCCTTGGATACCTTGAAATAGGACAATCTAATCGGAATTTCATTGGCTCATAACAGCAGAAGGGGCTGTAGGGATGCCCGTACGCCAGAGACTGTGAAAGACAGTGATTAGTGAGACAAATGAAAGCTGTGATTTCTGTCACTCACCTTCCCGCTGCTGCTGCTGCTGTTGCTGGATGATTTGAGCAGGCTGTGGCAGTGTCTGACCTATAGGAGTCAGTGTTGTGGCAGGATATATGGCTGCAGATATATGCAAAATATATGCATACATGAGAGAGAGAGAGGTACAGATGAGACAAGAATAAGGACAAGACGAAGGTTGACCTTTATATGCTAATGAAATATGACAGGATCACAGTGCAATGAAATCTGAAAGCACGTTCATCATATATCAAACTTATTTAAAATGACAGATCTCTAGGCATCCGTATGATAGCTGTAATATCCAGAAAATTCAAATACAACCTGAGGTTTCAATCACAGCAAAGTCACCTACCAGCAATAACACTCCATGAGGAAAGTTATTTTTCTGTGAAAGTGACATTTGTGAAAATATCGACTGCATTGAATGAAAAATCACAAATGAGATCTCTTTAACATCTCAGCTCAGGTTGGGAAAGATACAAATGTGATATCTCAAGTATCTCTGGATTCTTCTAGACAATACTGAAATTAAATGGATTTTTTTTTTTTTAGAATTTTGTTTAAGTCTCCAGCTTCTCAAATGTTTCTGTCCTAAAAGACAAAGACTCCAGTAATCTCACATGACTCCTCTAGTTTCAGACGAGAGCTCAACAGTGTCTCAAACTATGCTCATTTTGCAAAAATACATTATATATTAAACAGCATTTCTAAAATTGTAATCTCAAATACGTCAAATTAGATTAAATGGAGAACAAACTGAGAGTTTCCTGCCTCTAAGATGTTTCTCCTGAGAAAAATACCCCAGTAATCGCAAACGTATCTCCTCTAGAGTTTCAGATGAGATCTCATCAGTGTCTCAGACTGTGCTCATTTTTCTAAAATTGTAATCTCTCAAATACCTCAAGTGCTTCTCCTAGACAACAAAGAGATTAAATTGAGAATTTTGCTGTAGTCTCCTGCTTCTCAAATGTTTCTCTTGAGAAAAAGACTACATTTTTGAGATCTCATTAGAAACTGTTTTAGATTATTGGAGTATTTTTCTTAGGAGAAACATCTGAGAAGCAGGAGACTTAAGCAAATTTGTTCTCCATTTAATCTCATTGTTGTCTAAAAGAAACAATTGAGGTATTTCAGATATTAAACATCTGAGAAGCAGGAAATGCAAGTAAAAGTCAAATTTTTTCTCTCCATTTAACCTCAGCATTGTCTAGAAGAAACCGTATCTCCTCTAGAGTTTCAGATGAGTTCTCTGTGCGCGGATTCAAATTTATTGCACAGCTCAACACTCTTGCTAGATGACAACTTTTGTGTCCAAAGGAATTTTAGGATAAATACTGAGACTCAAAGGAAACCTAACTGAGATCTCCACTAGAGTGTGCAGTACCTGTGTATTGCTGGACGCCTGTGAAGGCCTGCTGGAGCGTGTCAGCTGCGGTTGGGCTCTGGGTGGAGTACGGCTGCAGGCCGTTGGTGTACAACGCCTCTACCTGATGACCGTTGGCTTGATGAGGGATTCCGCTGAATCCGTTAACAATGGGAGTCATGATGCTCGGCATGGCAGAGGAGGCCAGATTAGCCGGCGGAGAGCTCAAACCTGCGGTGAGACGGACACAGAAATCACCGATCTGAGACCAGCGTCATGTCGACACTGAACTTCACAAGCTGGAATCCCTTTTAATTACTGGCGTTTTAATGATATTGTGCTGTTTCGACTCAATTCTCCGCATCGATTCTACAGCCCAATTGATTCCACGTCAGAATGTGTTGACAGCTGATATCGATTCAGCACACTGTGGATGTAACCAGTTTATGCCTGCAGGGCAAATTCAGCCATGATCTGGGGTTTCCACGCGCCTGTGTGTTCATTCTGAATCCTAAGTGAACTGCACTCAGAAAGACATTTTAGTTTGCAATACATGTGATGCTTTCCTGTAAACAAACTAAGCCACTTCCTGTGAAATGAATCAGTATTATAGATGCTGATTTGTTTCATTTTGTTTCGTTACGTAAGGTGCTGAATTTAATCAAATAATTAATAACTGTGCACTCCTGGATCTGCAGATAACTCTACAGATGTCCATGGAATTAAACTCCAAATTCTACACATCCCCATGTTTAATGTTGACATTAATATTTTGGTTATATTTACAATGTTTTCAACTACTAATAAAGGTGTTGTACTCTCAGCTTTGCACTGGAAATGTGCTTTTCTTACTTAGTATTTTTGTCTTGTATTCTAGTACAAAATCTAAACATTAAATGAAGATGCATGTACTTTAGAAGTAAAATGACTTAAGATATTAAGCCTTGTTTTCTGAAAAACTGGTAAATATTTGGTGTTTATGCTAAAAAAAATAAATAAAATCTATCAGTAGCATTAGAAAATCAACCTAAAGGGTTAGTTCACTCAAAAATGAAAATTGGCTCATGTTTTACTCACCCTCGAAGCATCCTAGGTGTATATGACTTTCTTCTTTCAGACGAATCCAGTCGGAGTTATATTAGAAATTGTCTTTGATATTTCAAGCTGTTTAATGGCACTCAGCGGGTGTTGCAGTTGAACAGTCCACAAGTCGTCAAATAAAGCTCGCGCATTCATAATAAAACGTGCCGCAGACGGCTCTGGGGGATGAATAAAGGCCCCCTGTAGCGAATCCATGAGTTTTTGTAAGAAAAATATCCATATTTCAAACATAATAAACACTTTTCTCTCACTTTCGTTATCTATCATACGCAGATCCATTCTGACAGAAGGCGTATGACATATGTGCAGCGCGCGCACCTCTGAGATATGCTAGTCTCGCGAGTTTGTTTAACAGGAGCAAAGGAAGCAAAGTTTCCTTATTTTAACAAAAGAAAACCAGTCTCCTCTTGGTTTATATCAAAATCCTCCGTCATTTTTCTTTGCAAATCTTTGGTTTGTACTTCTAATTCATGACCGGCGTTTTGTTTTGTTCTCTCTCCGCATTCGTCACTAATCACGCAACGCCGCGCGTCTTACGTCATCCGCCGGAACTGCTTCAGTGTATGACCGTCAGCGGAAGTGCGAGAAAAGGGTTTATTACGTTTGAAATATGGATATTTTTCTTTAAAAAATCATGGATTCGCTACAGGAGGCCTTTATTCATCCCCCAGAGCCGTCTGCGGCACGTTTTATTATGAATGCGCGAGCTTTATTTGACGACTTGTGGACTGTTCAACTGCAACACCCGCTGAGTGCCATTAAACAGCTTGAAATATCACAGACAATTTTTAATATAACTCCGACTGGATTCGTCTGAAAGAAGAAAGTCATATACACCTAGGATGCTTCGAGGGTGAGTAAAACACAAGCCAAATTTCATTTTTGGGTGAACTAACCCTTTAATACAAAGGGAAAACTAAACGTTTCTTGTTATTTTCTTACCCCATTTGCAAGTATTTTTTTCTTTTTGAAAACAAGTAATTTTGCTTCTCAAGTAAATGTATCTTGATTCAAGAATGATCAGATATTTGTAATAGAAAACTAGACAAAAATACTAGACAATCTTTTTTTGCAGTGTGTTTGTACCATGTTTACATCCATATCACATATTTTAATTTTTACCCCCAAATCAGCTCAGAAAATTTGAAAATATTTATATTTTAGTAGCAAATCAGCATATTCGAATGCTTTCTGAAGCATCATGTGAGACTGAAGACTGGAGTAATGATGCTGAAAATTCAGCTTTGCATCACAGGAATAAATTACATTTTGCAATATATTACAATAGAAACCAGTTATTTTAAATTAGAATAATATTTCATAATATTACTGTTTTTACTCTATTTTTAGTCAAATAAATGCAGCCTTGGTGAGCAGAAGAAATGTCTTTCAGAATTATTAAAAAATCTCACTTTAAAAGCGCTTAGGTCTCAAAACAAAGCGAAGCCTCATAAATGTTTACGTACAGCAGCTGTGTATGGTTTGATGCAGAAGCGTGATTATGTACATGTCTGATGCGCTGCTGGCTGTATCTAATGTTGGACAGATCAACACGCTTCAACTTTACTGTCAATCAAACTGTAGAAGAGCAGGTGGTTAGAAAAACAGCTCGGTTATCCCTAGAAGAGGGGCAAACACAATCCAACATACACACACTGCACAGGAAAAGACAATAATTCACCAGATAATAGTTAGATGTTATGTAGAATATGAGCTTTGCATACAAGGAATATGGGAGTCGATTTATACCACAAAAAAGTTTCAAATAGGATAAACAGCGCTCATGATGTAATAGCAGAGAAATACAAACACCTGAGAGAGCCAGAGAAATATCATCATCTCTCCTGCCTGCTGTCTTTGTGTAGTGCACAGTGTGTTTTGTCGACTTTGAAGGGTGTCTGCTGCTCTCACTGAGGACTGTGCTCTTTAATGTCTGATCTACAGTCGAATAAAAGAATCAAATCAAACACATCGTGTGTTTCTGTGCTGTCCGGTCTTGTGTAACACTCCTGTTCACTGCTGGAAAATCCAGCTTAAGATGGTAGATGGATTCTGTAGCATAGTAGATGGCTTCTACTAGTCCAAACTGGTTTAAGTCATTGAGTAGCTCAGCTGTCTGGACCTGGTTAAACTCATAGACCATCTTGGTTAAGGGCCCTCAAAAGGGACAGTAAAGACATTTATAATGTTCTATTTCAAATAAATGCTGTACTTGAGAACTTTCTATTAGTCAAAGGTTCCTGAAAAAATATATTACACAACAATATAAAGCAGCACAATATTGATAATAATAATAAATATTAAAATCAGCATATTAGAATGATTTCTGTGTGTGATGATGCTGGAAATTCAGATTTACATCACAGGAATAAATTATATTTTACAATATATTTAAATAGAGAACAAACTGTAATGATATTTCTCAATATTTTCCAGTTTTTATTGTGTTTTTGATCAAATAAATGCAGACTTGGTGAGCATAAGAGACTACGTAGCTGCTACATAGTTCTCACCTTAAACTAGTTTTAACGGAATTTTCCAGCAGGATTGAGAAAAGGAAACGAGAGTAACTATAAGTGATGACTATGAAATATAAGTGTGACTATGAGTCAGAGAGTGTTAATAACACAGAGCGTCTCTCAAAAACCTGACAGCGTTTAAACGTGAATTCACACGCTCAGTGAAATACTGAGCTAAATCAGACTGCTGAGGGAAGAGCTGCTCTTTTACACTTACGGACAACATGAAATTCAACCAGCAGGTCTAGACAGATTCATTTGAGGGTCTTTACACACACAATGTGCTAATTTATGCTTCAAACACACACAATCAGTGCATGCGGAAAAAAAACAGAAAATACAAATGAAAATTTATAAAATAAAAATGAAAATGATTTCTTATTTTACACAGAAATACAATTCTATAGAAAATGTCCTGGAAAATAAATGCATAATGAAAAAAAAAAAAAAAAAAAAAAAAAAAAAAAAAAAAAAAAGGGTAATTTTTACTGACTTGTAGTGTAATTTATATACTATTACAGTATTTATTTATTTTTTAATTTAGCGTTTATTTAAAAACATTTTTTTTTGTAACTTTGTAACATGATTTTTTTTGTAATTTTTATTAGTTTTTTTCCCCAGCAAGTTTTAGTATTTCTTATTTTTATTTATTTGATTTATTTTGTAATAAACTCAAACCCAATTTAGGAATTTCAGTTATTTATATTTAATTTAATTTTAGATTTTTGTATTTTTAATTTAATTTGTATTTATTCATTTATTTTAGTTTAGTTTTAGTTAACAATAACAACACTGTCACCTTCATGTTATTACAAAACCTAAATGACTTTACTTCTTGTGTGGAATATAAAAGAAGATATTTTGAAGAATGGCTGCTTTTTTTCCATACTGTAAAAATGAATGTGCTAAAGAAGCAATGACTTCCACCGTATGGTCAAAGAAACAAAGCCATTTCTGTGTTCCACTGAAGAAAGTCAGTCATACAGGTTTCGAACAGCATTGAGGGTGAATAAATGATGCCAGATTTCGTTTTTGGGTGAAATATACTTTTATGATTACCGACAACACCTAGACAAAAGCTCAACAATAATTGAGCACCTTAAAGGTATACTCCACCCCAAAATGAAAAACCCTCATGCCGATTCAAACCCGTAAAAGCTTAGTTGGTCTTCGGAAACACAATTTAAGATATTTTGGATGAAAACCTGGAGGCTTGTGACTGTCCCATTGACTGCCAAGTAAATAACACTGTCAAGGTCCAGAAAAGTATGAAAGACATCGTCAGAATAGTCCATCTGCAATCAGTGGTTCAACCGTAACGTTATGAAGCGACGAGAATACTTTTTGTACGCGAAAACTAAAATAACGACTTTATTCAACAATTCGTCTCCTCTGTGTCTCTCCGCATCACCGTAGCGCCATTTTGGAGAATATCTGCTGAACGCAAGCAGCGTACGCTCTTATGTGTCAGTCATGCTGCACGGATGCGCTGTTTTTGTTCAAATCAAAGCGTAAATACATGTAGAAAACGTATTCTCGTCGCTTCATAACGTTACGGTTGAACCACTGATTGCAGATGGACTATTCTGACGATGTCTTTCATACTTTTCT